TCTCTCTCTGTTCTCACTATTCCTGCAGTATCGCTAGTTAGTGCATCATTGCATCTAACGATCCTGCTACATGTCCAACGAGTCAAGTCGAAAAACACGAGTTAATTTACGAGAATCTGCTTAATTGGTATTATGGGAAACCGTAAAGATATACAAAATCGAACTTCTCTAGCCTTTAAGGATATTCGTTTATATATATATATATCTGATACTCTTCATCATTCAATTTTATACATATCTTTTCTAGCTCACGTACTTGTCTTTTAATCGTTTACCAAATTACGGCAATTTTTTCTCCACGCATTATTATTACAGATTTATTTTCCTATTTCGTTCGTTCCTTCTCAGTAATGAAATGCTTAATCATTTAATATTATTATCCAATAACTTCTCTATTAGTGCTCGCAAATAAATTTAAAGTTACGGCTTATCTTACGTCTCGCTTTAAATAGAATAGAGATTGTTAAAGTAAGATGAGAATGTTATCAAGTATGGCAAAGTATATTTAAGAGTAATTCTGGCGTGTGTAGTAATCTGTGAAAAGTATTTTACATTACGTTAAGCGAAGGTACCATGAAATTCCTATAAGCAGCGATTTATACCCGACGCTTCCGAACATTCGGCTACGCAATATTAAGCAAAGTTCACAAAATTTTCAAGATATGTTTCTTGACAAACACAACGTTTTTTAAAATGCAACTGAAAATACTACCGCTTTGTTAATTGTCTCAACTTTCTCCATTCGTCCTTCTTTATCTATAAAGCTGATAAGTGATTTCTCGAAATGCCGCGAGGTACGTATCTTGGAGTGAAATCGACAGAGTGGATTTCTATTAGAATTGATTTACCATTTTAGTCACACGAAGAAAATGGGTTATCAAGGGTGACACATCTCGTTGAGCAACCATTACTAAGAGCAATTTTTTAAATCTACACGGCAAATTTCACTCTAGAGGAATACTTAAAGATGGGCAGTAAAAAGGCCCCTCAAGAAATGCGCCAAAGCGACGGATTATAATAGAAAAGCAGGTTTTAATGGCCGAGGCAGTAATTTTGTTTTGGGTAAATCTATATATCAGACAGCTAGTTGGATATATATTTAATTTTTTTCTCACGCGAGAAAAGGCGTGCAAAAGGCGCGAAAGCGAGGTTGTTGTGAAGAAGTAGTTGTCGGTACTCGACGGCAGGTCATAAAGTAAAAGAGGGAGCTGTGCAAGAGTATCGTAAAAATCGAATTTTTCCACGAATAGGTGAGTGCACGAGCGTTTGCGTACCTTTCTACACATATACCAATACGTATATCTTAAGACACGACTCTATGTTTGCAAAAATGTATATAATACGGTGGGTAGCGTAGGAGCGTACAAACATTCTGCAAGAAGAGAGAAGATGATGGAAGAGCTGAATAAAGGCAAACGTAGTGTTTGCTACGTCGGTCCGCGTTTGCACCTATCAACGATGCTCGGAAAACAAATAATAAGAAATAAGTTGGACAACTAAAGTGAGTTAAAGATATATATATATATATATATATATATATATATATCGATGGATGGATGGATGGATGGATGGGTGGGTGGATTGTGGGAGAGAGTTGATAAATAAAACAAGTTCTTTTATCTTCTTTGCTGAAACAATCTTTTCAATGAAGAATTAAAAGAACATTATAATTGGCTAGAATTGTCTGAAACGTAACTTGTCCAAATGAATATGAATATACAAAGAGATGAAAAATTACGATTTATCAAAGTTTCTCAATTATTACTTATTTTTACGGAATATATAGATGTTAATATAAGATCAGTATTAAAAAAAAAAAAAAAAAAAAAAAAAAAAAAAAAAAAAATGAGAATAAAAGATATTAATCTATTTGTTATATGTTTCATTACAGAATCTCAAGCATTATTAAATGTTTACATTTTAGATTTTTTTTCAATGTTCCTTTGTCTTCGTTTCAATTTATTTTTATCTAATTTATCATAATATTTTGTATCGGCATCTTTATACATTGATAGATAAGTTTTTAAATTGTATACTTATCTCTCCTTTTATAACCATGCATAAATCGAATTAAAATTAATTCATATTGATTCTCATTTACTATCAAATCCAATCTCTATTACAATGGTAAATTAAAAAATGTTTATGAATAAGAAGTGCAAACGTTCAACTTATGTTAATTGCATAAGTTTCGATTGTAATGAAAGCTCGATTCTATTCTACAAAGAAAAAAACATATTCCAAGTTGATATTTGCAATTAAATCAAATATATCACTTACAAATATCACGAAATTTAAAATTGCTGATTGAATCTGAGAGATAAAAATCAGCTTTACAAATATAGTATATATATATATATATATATAATTTTCAATATAATTTATTCAAATAATTCTCGATGAATTAATAATTTTCGATGAGTCCGCAATTTTCATACAAGATAAAAGTTGGTATATCATCATTCAGGATATTTTTTTATTTTATATAAAAACAAGAAAATAAGAAAAAAATAAAAACAAAAAATACATTATGTGGCTCAAAAATTAAATTTGGTTATGAAAACTTTTACTTATTTTTCCGTTATTATCAGAGCCGTTATCGTAACTACGATTTCTATTGTAGCTTATTGTCCTAATTGCCGCTACGACAATAGCAGCCAAGTTTAATATTCCAATTGCTCAATCGACTAAAGCGAAAATCAATTAATTTCACGACATTCGTTTAAAAATAATAAACAACTATAACAGATGTTTTCCTAAAAATCTAAGGAATAAACAGGAATTTTTTTTTCTCCTGATAAGATGTATAATTGAAAGAATGAAAATTAAATGTCAAAGTGATAATATGATTTCCGAATGGGCAGAATATTAGGCATTTTAAGCCGAAATGTTGTATAATTTAAATACGACAAGGGGGACAAAATTTTCACTGAACGCAGGAAGGGAAAAAAGGGTGAGAATAATTGAAGAAACATCGCGATGATATTATTGTCTATCGATGACTTTCTCAGCGGGCAAAAGGAATTAATTCTTGAATTGAAGAGTAAGGATATCCAAGCGGCAGGACGATCCTTTGTCTACTCGTGCCGCTCGTATCGGCGACGCTCAATTTGACGAGCCACGGATGGGTGGAATGCTTTCCGCGAGCGAACCTTCGGATAACGCACACAAGTGACTTCCTGGGGAAGTGCCAAGCGGCTCCTCGGCTGGCCGCCAATGAGCCACACGTGTCCGGAATCTCCGGAGCTATTTTGCCCCGGACGCTCTTTCGCAAAAAGGCTCGTTTACCTCCTATTTATCCGCGCGCTTCTTCCTTTCGAACCTTTTCTTTGCTCCTGCAGGAGCGAGGGGATCACGCGTCAATCGTTCGCTTCTCAACGACAGCCATTCAATTGCTTTTGGCTTAAATATTTAATTCGAATTACCTAATCTCATTTTTCGTACTCAATGAACATAAAACCGGGCCTTCGCCACCTATTATATATTTTATACGTTATATCCTTATTGTAATGTTGTTTTAACGCTATCTTGGAAGTTGTTTTTATTATTAAATTTGTTATTGGATTGTGCGAAGCTCGCTCTCGTGGGTTTTTTTTTTTTACATTATCCAGTGCTTCTAGTAGTTTGAATTTCAAAACAAGCTTTCCTTTTTACAGAAATTTAATTTCAGCGTGCATGATGGATAATCTTGCAAAACCTATATGCAATACGCGTTAAAAGAGTCCCGTTTAATTATTAAAATTATTAAAATTATATAGAAATTCCCTGTAATTTGAAAGCCATAGAAATTGTTATATATATATATATATATATATATATATATATATGTATGTATGTGACCATAAGTTGATAACTAAGCCTATTATTCAAAACATTTAAATAAAATTTTTCTTTATCTGTTTTTAGATTACTTAAATATATTACCTGCTTTTACTAAGTATGACAATTATAAATTTGTTATATTTTAATGCGTTTTGAATGCACACGAGAAGACGTAGCGGTTTTTATAATTAAAAAGTGACAAAAAAATATTCGACCAGATTCAACATTCTTGAAGACAATGTCGATGGAGAACTGAGATTCCTTTAAACGTGCTGGCCGTATAATATTATTTTAACGTCTGTAATTATTGTAAATAATTGTATAATTTATAGCATATATAATCGTATATACGTATATAAAAATCAAATTCATTAGCTCATTTATTATGAATTCCTGTTCATCGTGCTTTCGTTCGTTCGTTCGTTTAACTTACCAATAAAACATTATAAATAGACGTACGTAGTTGGGTAACGATTAAAATTATCGAATTCCAAAAAAAAAATATTTTAAAAGATATGCGTGTGTTAATGATGGCCATTTGTGTATTTAAAATAACGTAATATATTATAATAAAAATATATTACGATGGTAAATTGTAATTACATGATAATGAAAACGACGGTCTAATAGTTAAGATTTTACTCAATTTCGTTTGCTCATCTCATTGAACAATTTCAAATATTTATTTTTTATTGTAAAATTTTGGCCCAATGGAGCTGAGTTAAAACCTGTCACATCTCTTAAATTAAGTATTTCTTTCGCCATCTATATATTTTAAGCTACCTTCTATAAAAAATATCGATTCCTACTGTAGGTAAGAAAGAAATTTTGACTTTACTTGAATATGATCGCCTAACTTTCTAAAGTTACATTAAGTTAGAAAGTGTTATATAATAATAAATAAATACATAACATTAGATGAAAATGATAATGCATTTATAACAATTTTTCATTATAATTATTATTTTATTATAAATATAAAATATATTTTGTCATGCAATGACGAAAATTTATTTAATAAATTTACTTGACTTTTTATCTCTATTAAAAAATTCTAATAATGAAGGCCCGACGATCCAGGGGGTTGTGGTGCCTTGAAAGTTACACTGTCTGGGACTGGTTTTGTCGAAAATAAAGAACCAAACAAAACGTGTTGTATCACCGGAAATTTGGTTAAAACCTAAACAAAATTAATTCCGTATTTTCTAATCAATATGAGGCACACAGGAATAAAAAGAAGAAGAAGAAGAAGAAGAAGATGCAATTACCTCTGCTTTATACATTCTGATTAGGCCACTGTTAACTTTGGACCAAGATGACACAGCGCTAACATTCCACAGTTGATTAGAATGTTCAGCAAATGGACCAGTTTTTACCTAAGTTAATAAAAATTATGTTTACAGTTGTAGCAAATTTCATTTTTTTTGCAATCTACATATAAGTATAATAATGAGTTTGTTGCGTTTTAATATGTACTGAATTTGCGCGAGAAAAAGCAATTTTCTCCGTAATTAAAGGGCCATGATAAATTTTTTTACAACTGAATTTCAGCATTCTAAGAACAACATCAACAGAGAGCAATATATCATATCATTTCTGTACATACGCAAGCTGCATAATCATATTTTAACAGTTATAAATATTGTCGATAAAAGTTAAATTTAAATTAAAGTTAAATTACCTTTGAAATAAATTCAATGCACCCTAAAAACATGTATTGCCTACTGTTAGCTTCAACTAATCCATGATCCGTAAAATGTTGAGGCTCCATGCGAGGGTGACCTAGAATTTATATTAATTAATTATGGATCTTTCGTCACAACTAATTGAATGTTGTAAAATAATATAATTACCGATTAACTGAGAGCTACCCCAAATAAATGGTACAAACTGATAATCATCTAAGCTCCATACTCCATGACTTCCAGCAGGTTCCATTCGATATGTTAATTGAAGTTTACGTACTACTTCAAGATACCTAAATAGACATTAAAAATTTCAATCCCCCTCATTTTATCATTGTAATGAAAATATTAAAATACAAACAATACCTATTAAATATTTTTAATCCTACAGCAGTTTTATCACTAGATTCAAAAGCATTTATTTTAAACATACAACAAAGAAACATAATAAAAGCCATTTCGTGTCCAGTTCCGTAGTCAATACGCGTTGCATTTCCAAATCCTTCTAATAAATATTGAACAATTTCAGGAATAGCTGGATAAAGATTTTCAGGTAAAATTTGATTTAGTTCTACCACAGCCGACTAAGAATTAATTGTACATTGTTATTTAAGAATTTATTATTATTCCATATTATATTCGTTATTGGACAGGACTTCACTTACACCAAGGAGTTTCTCATGCCATATACGAAAAGATTTATTACCAAAACGTTGCGGTTGTTCTGTTGGTGGAATTTCGTTGATCCATTGGTCAAATTTATTAAGTAATTCACAAACTTTATTCACTGTTGATGAGCAAGAATATTTTGAATCGATAGCTTTCCCTTTTACAGCGTCATTGATTGCCATTATAAAGCCAAAGTATTCCTATGCAAACATATTTGCTTATAGCTTTATCAAACACTTAATAATCATTTATTGTGAAATTTTAACTTACAAAATAAGCTTCTGACTTTTGCCATACCGACATATCTTGAATACCTTTAATTGCTTTTTTTGGCTCAATAAATTCATGATCAGCTGAAAATGCATTGAAAATATTCAATTGTACATTCTCGAAATAAGAAAATTTTATGAATAAAAACTTACCGGGTAATCTAAATTCTGAAGACGATGAACCTGTTCTTAACGACATAATTATGAATTTACATAAACTAATTCTAAATAAAACAATGAAAAAAACGTTAGAAGTATTACAATAAATAAATTTAAAAGTATGTACATTGACAAAATTAACGCGTTGAAAATTTATTTAGTCCATGAAATTAATTATTGTATTATATTCATAATAAAATAGTGAAATACAACAATATTACATATATTAAAATATTTATTGGATTTTTGTAAATATTTTATTTTGCTAAAACATAGAGACTCGGTGAGTTTCACGGCACGCGCGTACACTAGACAGTGTTGCCAAATTCTTTTAGTTATTGTAACAAACTTTTATTTAAAATATACCAGCCAATAATATTATATATAATTAAATGTAGTTAAATTTCAATAAAATATCTTTTCTCCTATTCTTAACGAAGATTTAAAAAAAATATAATTCTATTTAAATAGCCATGTTACATATTTAGGCAAATAATAAAGGTTAGTTAAATTGAGATTTTCTAGACTATTGAGAAATGGTAAAAATAGGTTTTTCAATTGCTAGTTTCAAACTTTCTACTGTCAATGTATTGTAAAGGCTTATTGTTTTTCTAATGATTAAGCTTAAATATGATTATACTATAATCTTAAAACGTTTTTCTCTTATTTTATTCGTTTACTTTGAATTGTTAAAAGTTATTGACCATGTAGATGATCGTTTTAGGTATTAACTATAATATAGTCTGGAGTGTAAAACCAGTTTTTTTTTCTTTTTTTTTAAATAATTTTATACTTTTACAAAATAACATCTGTAATTTTTATCAGGTATTAAGAAATAAATTTTATAGATACAACACTTGAAATACATATAATCAACAAAATTAGTAGTCTATAGAACTGAATTGAATAACTTGGATTGAACCGTATAAATTATTTGTTTTACAGATATGTATTCTAAAGAAGATATTGAAAAAAAACGTCAGCAGGCTTTGCAGCGTAAGAACCAAAGAGTATTATCTTATAATAATGTAAATACCGAAAGTATAGGTACATCAAGAAATGTTTCAAGTAATCAATTAATACAAAATAATACAGCAAATTCAATTACCAAGATTTCAAATAATTATAAAATTAAAGGTTTAATGCCAAATTCAAATAAATTACCTGTTTATAGAAATTATGAAGGTAAGAGTCGGAGTACAATTAAATTACAATCAACGAAAAATCGTTTCAATCCAGTAGCAAACACTAGTAAATTCTATAATATTATGCCTAAGTTGGAAGTTTGTTGTTCCATGATTAGTAATACCAGATTTACCGTCGATATGAAAGTATTTAATACAGATTTAATAGATTTGTTTAAGACTATTCCAAGTAAACTATACAGTAAGTATACAAAAATATTATGATTTCATAAATCATATATATGATTATTACCAAATTTTGAAATTAAAAGCAATCATATTGTTTCTCAAATTTTGTATAATTTTTTTTATTTTAAATCTAAATTTTCAACATAATATTGAATATTTACATTACAGATTTTACAAACAAAACATGGAATTTTCATATTTCCGATTATGACATACTTAGAGAAAAAGTAATTGGTTTAAAATCTGATATTGCATTTATAGGCTTGCCAAGCTTCCTAGTGAAAGTAAGTTTTCTTCTTATATTCCATTATAATGTAATTTGTATATTTTATTTTTGTGTTCAAGACTTTTCAAAATTTATTATTACAAGAAAAAGAGCCTAAAAAAATTGTGGACTTATCCGATGTTGACGCAACTTTATTGAATTCGTTGTATCCGTTTCAAAAACAAGGAATAGAGTATGCATTAAATTTTATTCTCTGTAAATATTTACTCATACGCTTATTTATTTGATATAATACGATTTAGGTACGGGATATCAATGAATGGAAGATGTCTTATAGCAGATGATATGGGACTTGGTAAAACAAGACAAGCTTTAGGAATTGCTGCTTATTATAGAAAATATTGGCCTCTATTAATAGTTACTCCATCTTCTTTAAAGTTGATTATAATTTTAATTTTAACGTATTTTAATTATTGTTAATACTTTTAACAAGTTTGAAAATAAGTTTTATTTTTAGATATCAGTGGGTAGAAGATATAATTCAAAATTTACCATCGGTGCCTATTTATTCTATACAGCATATAATTACCACCAAAGATAATATTGATAAAAGTCAAATTATAATTGTATCATATGATTTACTCATAAAAAAAATTGATATGTTTGCTGCACGAAAATATGGTGTTATTATTTGTGTCAGTACAAAAAATTTAATTGTTAGTTATAATAAGTATATTTGTTAAATTGTAATTGATATATAATAAACAATTCATGGATTTTAGGATGAGTCGCACTATTTAAAAAGTGGTAAAACGCAAAGAACAAAAGCAATACAACGTTTAGCTAATTCCCGGCATTTAATTTTATTGACTGGTACTCCAGCATTATCTCGACCAATAGAGTTATATTCGCAAATAAAACTATTGATACCAGGTTTCATGAGGCAAGTGGAACACAAGAAAAGAAATCGTTAAAATCATTGTAAATTAATTGTTTCATTAAATTAAATTAATCTACAAGCTTTCTTTTATAGTTACCAAGAGTTTGGAATAAGGTATTGTGGAGGTGTAAAAAGAACATTTGGTTGGGATTTTTTAGGCTCGACAAATTCTAAAGAGTTGGAAATATTACTCAAAGCTTGTTGTTTAATTCGAAGACTTAAAAGTGAAGTTATGCTTGAATTGCCATCAAAAATTAGGTATAAAGATTTTTTTGACAAGTATTTATTTCGATAATTTATTAAAATAATCGGGAAAACTCGATGTATTTATTTATTGAATAAATTTTTATGACTAACGAAAAACTTATCACAATCCTTTCTAATTCAAAGATTTGATAAAAATCTACGGCAATTTGATCAGTATAGATTAAAAACAATAGATTAGTAACAATTGATTTTTCATAATAAATTTGGGTTTTTGCTGAATGTTAAACTAATTATATGTTATGGATATGAGAGTGAACAAACACAATAACAGAAATTAAATATTACATAAAAAATTTATTTTCCTATAGAGAAAATGTTGTACTTGATCCACAGTTAATAAAATACGGAACAGAAGAAATGAAAACCGCTTCTAAAAATTTGGAACGCAGTTTGGATAGTCTTCAAAAAAAAAATGCTCTTTTACAGTATTACGCTGCAACGAGTAAAGTTAAGGAGAAAGCTGTTTGGTAATGATGAAAATTACTATTAAAATGTATAATTATCATAATAATATTTAATCCAAGATGATTTATTTTCAGTAATTATGTTACTGATTTAATTGAAAACCAAGAAAAATTTCTCATTTTCGCTCATCATCAAAATATGCTAGATGCCATTTCTAATCTGTTAACGTCAAAAAAAATTCTGTAATTTATTACTTACTAATATTTTCCTACAATATTCCTAATTTTATTTATTTATAATACAAAATTTACTTTATAGATTTATACGCATCGATGGAAAGACTAACTCTAATCAAAGAAAATTTTATGTGGATATGTTTCAAGAAGATGATAAAATATTGGTAGCAGTTTTATCAATATTAGCTGCTAATGCGGGAATAACAATGACAGCAGCGAGGCTTGTTATTTTTGCTGAATTATCATGGAATCCTGGAGTACATTATATATTTAATGCTTTACCTATACTTTTATCATATCATGATTTTATATAATTATTTTGCAGATTCTAGCTCAAGCGGAAGATAGAGTGCATCGAATTGGTCAAACTAGCAATGTTGTAATTCGTTATTTACTTGCAAAATCTACAGCTGACGATCACATGTGGCCAGCAATTCAGAAAAAAATTAATGTATTGAACGATGTTGGATTAGATCAAAATTTTGATTTACATGAAGTAGACACATCAAGTCAATCCTCGGTTCTTTTAAATCAAGAGAAGTTAGATAAATACATTAAAGTATCCTCAAATACTACATCGATAAATTCATCGAGTCTCGATGAAACGGGAAACGCTACTCTACATGTAAGTTTTGAAAGCATGAGAGACCTTTTGGACATAGATGATGATGCATTCAATGACGTTAATTTAACTGATATTACCTAAATGAGATAAAACGTATTTTAATAATTATTTATTTTCTGAATTTGTAAATTATAATTATTCACTGATAGACAAAAATGGCATGGCAATTTTTTCCTATTATGTTAAAAGAATAATTAATGTAATATTAAATGATTGCAAACATATTTAATGTTATTGAATAAAAATATTTTTCTAAATAACTTAATGTAGCTTTTATTTTTAGTCTTTGAAATGTAACAATTTTGAAAAAACGATCGATTTTAAAATACCACTCTTATTAAAAGCTACGAACATTTTGAACAGAAAACAATTAAAACTTGAACACTTAAGAGCAAAATTTTACATTAAAGTTATTTATATCAAAATCATTGTTCACCGTTTCGATCGATATAAATTTTTGCTTCAGTAGTTGGAATGAGCAAGGTTAAGACTAGGGCACACGAGTTTATCGATTATAGCCTTTCTAATTTATGTGATAACCAATTTATACAGTTGGATTAAGCAATACTTATAACGATCAATGATAATTGAAGAATGATACCTCTTGTTCTTTGTTGTTTCTTTGCCACTCCTTTTAAATAGTTGAAGAGAAATAGTTTCCACCACAGTCAATTATGCTTAGTAATGTTTTATTTTATTTTAGAAATACACAAATCATGATGTAACGGTACAGTTTATAATAAAATGTTGTTGTTCTACATAATCTGATATTATGTTTGTATATCGATTAGACTTTTACCGTACATTTGTAGAGCAATTTACCATTTCGTTACTTTCAAGTTGATGTTTAATATTATTATTATTATATATATATATATATATATATATATATCTTTATTTATTTATTCATAATTCAATTACAATAAAAAATTAATACTATACTATTGAGTGGTGCATAAAGCCTAAAAGCCTACTAAATTTAACAATGAATTTAATTTTTATTTAATCGAATAAGAAAATAATACCAATTACAGCAAAGGAGCTGGGGTACTCATATTGAAGATAGCTAATGAGTTCTCACTTAATTTGATGACAATCGCTATGCTATAATTATATGCTACATAATGCTACATAAGCTGCTTTGTAATAAGATAAAAATAATTTTACTTTTAAACATATTCTGATTTTTTCATATGAAGTTGGTAAAATTTTTGTATTTAACACGTTAAAAAAAAAAAAAAAACTTCAATAAGTTTTTATTAATCATACTTATTATACTGTCATATTGACTAAATGCCAATTTTACTTAAGTGTTGCAAACAGCACTTGAAACTCTTTTTAAGCTATTACATACAATCTGCCAATAATTTCCAGAAACTGAAAAAATGTGTTTATAAATTCATCTTATTGTAATTTATTGTTATTTTTGCCACAACATAATGTTGTATTACCGATATTATTACTACTGCAATTGCATATAGGATATATAAGATAATATTTAAAAAGTACTTGGAGCTCATTTTTAAACTTACATTGAATGTCATATTTACACTCAACGTTTATACAGTTAAAATCTTTGTTGCAACTTGTGCTTTTGATTGGCACACCACATTTCACATTTTATATAAACGATAAACGATAGATTTCTAATGTTTCCATTAATTACACGTATAAATAAAAACGCCAAAATATTGATTAAAAATATTTCAGTTAATATTCATGAAATACATTAATTTTGATTACTTGAAATTTATAAAAAAAAAAATAATAATAATACTAATAAAATAAACAATAAATAAAAGGTCAAATATAAAACACCGCCGTATAAGCTTATTTTATAAAGAACTTTATTTGATTTGCAGGTAATATATGTATACAAAAATCGATACAATAAGAATATTTACGATTATCTAATTATTATGATAAACAAGTTTCGGTTTATCTAGCATACGGTTTGTAAGGTTTTTTGTTTCAAACACTTGATTGGTACAAAATATTTTGCAAAAACAAAATTTACTTATACTTAATAAATTCGTTTTATCCAGTGGCTCTCGATTCAAATACAAAGGCAATGAATTAACAAAACGCCAAGTATTTGGTCGATAAATGTTAGATTATTTGACAATAATGAAGTCATTTTTGCACAACCGAATAACAAAACGGACACTACTTGTCTCGAATAACCTCGAAAGTAAATGAAACACTACTCTTTTTTCTTCTTTTATTTTTCAAAAAAACACTTATTTATAATATATCTAGAATAAAGAAAATATGGTTCAGCAATACCTTTTTTACACTACTCAATGAAATGTTGGTCGTATTCGTAAGTTTTTCAAATCAAATTTACTTTACGCAAAAGCGACTCAACGATCCTCGCAATATTATAATTCTAATAGAGAAGACGAAACGACCCATCTCAACTCAACATTTGAATTTTATTTCTTATATGATTTTCAACCAATCAACATTTGAATTTTAATTCTTATATGATTTTCAACCAATCGACGAGCCTGAATATCGGTTATTTCATTCGCCGAACATCCATCTTAATTCGTTACTCGACTTTTTCTGAGTTTATTGTTAATTTCTACTGGTGCATAGTAAATTCACGGTTCACATTCGCAATTATTTTCGGCTTCCTAACTTGTATTCAGCTTCCTAAATTGTATATATTTTTTTTCTTCTTCTCACGAAGTAAATAACAAAGTGAATTCTTGGATAAATGCGAACGATAAAGCGCCAAGTATCTGCTCGAGTATTATGGTAAAAGTAATTTAATTGGCGATAATTTATATTTCCTTTTGTAAATATCGTAAAGAATTTTATTTAAATTGTATTAGTAATTTTGTTCTTTCTGTTTGAATAGTGGAATTATATTGGTGCAGCGCATGTTAAGTGAATAGTGTATTTGTAAATAAATGCTCTGAATTTTAATAGAACAGTATGTAAACGCACTTTCCCTTACTTGAATTCTATTTCTACTTTATGAAGAATAACTATTATTTTCTGTTATATTTATAGAGGTAAGTCATCATGGCAAGATATGGTTATTAAATTGTAACAAAAAACACTATATCAATGTAGTATTGAACAGAAAAATTAATGAAATTCCGTTAATTTTACTTTATTATTCCCTCATCTAACGATGTAATTTAATAGTATATTTAGATATTATTGTATTTATAAATTTTTATAAATCTTACAAGTTGAATAAGATACAATGTATAATTAAACGAGAGTTCAAGCGCAGCATTGAACTACATAATTTTATTAATTCTTATGAATTTAACATAATGTATTTAATCCTATTTGAATGACAATGAAAAGTAATGTAAAATTGTTTCTATTGTTAGCGTTGACAAAATCAGTCCATAATCAATATTATGGATCCAAGTGAAGTGGAATTTTTGGGAGAAAAACAACTAGTTAGTATTGTTCCAAACTTTAGTTTTGGTATTATTCACTTAATTTCTGGATCGGTAGGACCTTTCAGAGCCGGTTTACCAGTTAAAGTCCCTATTTGGCTTGCAATAAGTCTTAAACAACAACAAAAGTGCAGAATTATTGCTCAAGAATGGATGGATATCGAAAAATTAAATGATTCTATAGAAGCAGAAAAGAGATCAAAGTATATATAAATTAGTTTTTTTCGTTGCCTCTTATTAATTAACTAAAACATTTGCTTTTGGTATATTTAGACTTTTTACAAAAATGCCAAGCAATCACTTTATGGATGAGGCACAAATGTTACTTATGGTTGCGCCCGATGACATACCCGATGCTGATAACATCAGAACCGCTGTAAAGGTATCATCTTGACTTAAGATAACAAATTCATTGTAACAAATGATTGTAATCTTTGATAAATATTACGAAGAGCTGGAGTAAAATATTTCTATTTTAATCGATTTGATATATCAAAAATTGGTAAAGTAATATACATTATTATGGAATTGTAGGATATATGGGACCTGCGAATGTCTAAATTGCGCAGTTCAGTAATTGGTTTTGTTAAAAATGCAGGAACTTATGCAAAATTAGATCATCTCACTGCAATGGAAATTAATAGTATACGCTCATTATTACCCGATGCATTAGATATAATGCTTCATATGGAACACGGTGGTAAACCAACGGTGTTACAAAGTCTCAATACAACTATGTAAAATCATTTTCATCGCTGTATAGAAAATCAAATATATTTTCGTATGCTTCTTCTTTATATGTCAAATATTTGTAAAAATAAATTTGTAAATAATGTATTCTCCATATTTTCTTTATGTTAAGGCGAAGACCAATGCGTCAGGAATACTTTTAATTATTATAATTAGAAACTTAATTATCAATTAGTATTGTAAAAAAGAAGATTATTTAATTACTATTCACTATTGTGTATACAAGAAGCTGAGAAATAAGATTATTAAAATTATTTAAATTAAAGTTAAATTAAAATTAAAACCGATCCACTGAAATTATATATCTATTAGTAAATCAAGAGTTACCCGATCGCTAATGCAATTTTATGATGTAAACAATTGTCAAATTTTATCGTTCTTATGTATATTAAACCGAGTCTAATGAAATGTTTACCTAAAAATTGAAATATCCGTACAATTGAATTATATCATACAATTGAATGCAAAAATTTTAATCCAATTGCAAATTAATTGAAGTGGTTCGATTAACATAGGTATGCGTTTAAATTAAAAAAAAAAAACTGAAATCACAGGATAATATTAAGTTAAATTTAATATTTTTAATTTATTATCATTATATTTCTCTTTGATTTTTCATACCAATAATTATGACATACAACATTCGTTAACGTTTCAACATTTTCTCTAGAACTTAGTAATACAAATATATATACATTAATACAATTACTTAAATATCTAATAGTTCTTCTATTCATACTCGAAGGCTTTTCACAATATTTACAAATTATATTACAATAAGTGGTTAGTGAATTTTGCATTTTTCCAGAAAAATATGAATTTGCCTTGGAATACATGAAAAATATACGCAATTTAGAAATATGCGTAAATTTACACAATTTAATGCTTTTATATATTTATAAACGTAGTGTTAATAAATATTTCTCGATGATCCAAGCAATTTATTTTACATTATAATGCAATTGGAAGTTCGCCTAAGCGTAACGAATTATAAAAATATTAGCGTACATTATGGGAAGGAAAGAGACAGAGGTCTCAGGAATTTTACACACGAGATCCAATAATAATAATGCTCCCATCACTCCAAAATAAACGACTATTGGCTTAGATTTAATATAAAACTATGACGAGAAGTCGTAGAGCCACTTTTCGGAGTGAGATGCGTCTGATTAAAATGGTATTATTATAAACAATATAAGTACAATATATTAATCAATTTTAGCGCGTGCTTACGTTAATTCGCATTTCGTGATCCGAAAAGTGAAATAAGTTAGACTCGAGATCAGACTTGCGTATACGATTAATAATTTGACACGAGCGTAGTCCTATGAAAAATTACGAATCCCCAGACCGTACGCAAGCAGTCCGGATATGATGGATAAAGGCAGGCGGCGATCCTGGTCGTTTAGATGCTATTGGGGGATCCGATGATTGGGACCCCGTGGGACTGGATGATAAAAACAGCATCTATACGGCGACGATCTTGCTTGGGTCGATTTTCACTCTGATGAACATCGTATCATCCTTAACGAAGTGGCGCTTCTTAGTCATTTCGTGGGAGACAAATCGAGGAAAGCCGAAACCAAGGGAGTCGGGTTCGCGGCTCGGCCGTTGAAAATTCTTCCAAGTTGGATCGGGGATGAAGCTCTCGACGATGTTGCATGCCTTTTCGGCGACGAGCGCCTGGTCCAGCAGCGTAAACGACACGCTGTGAGAAAAAGGCCAACGTAACAAAGCGTCGTACTCGCCGGGCAGGATCTTTATGTAAATGGATATGTGGGTGCCCTCGCCGGTCCCGTTGCCGTTTAGAAAGAGCGAAGCCTGCGAAACATTAAATAGAATGTTACGTTCCTTGTCCATTGGTATCTACTTACTTCCTATTCCTATTCCTATCCCCATCTCCATCTCCATCCCCCTCCCTCCAACCCCCCTCCCGAGCGTTTCGCTCATTCTCGGGGATCGAAATTCCATGGAAATTCTGTGGATTAAGTTAAATCGATAGCTCACCTGCAGCTTGTAACCATATTGACTAGTATAGAACGGTGGACTGATAAGCTCGACTCCCTCCTTCGACTTGGCCTCTGACATTTTCGCGGCAAAGTCGCTAATCTTCCAGATGAGCGTGCCGGAATAGTTGAGGGACATTTTACCAAGGGCCGTCTTCAAACTCGTGATCTGGTGTTGTTGCTTCGAGACGACGCTACACATTAAGCCGAGGTGTGCTTTAGCTGACTCGTCCATGTGCTTGTCCAAGGAGAAACGATTGCCCTAAAAAGTGGAACGAAAAGTCGACGAATTAACGAATGTCCAACCTACTCTCGCTACCCACGTGCATGGTAACCAGCCGGATATTCGGTTATGTTGAGTAGCGCAAGGTTTAAGCTCACCTTGAATCTGCAGCCAGCCTCCTTGAATGCGCAGGAGAGGAGATGAGTCGTGCAATGGTCCTTGAGGTGAACCTCGAGGTCCTCCCGGGGCAGTACCGCGGTCTCGCAGCGATGAGGACAGGCAACGGGGAAACGGCCACACTTGGCGTGGTGAGCCGACAGGGTGTCAAAGACGAATTCCTTGTTGCAGTAGCGACAGGCCATCAGTCGCTTGGCACATTCGCCGACTTTATGTTGGCCGAGATGCCGGCGTTGTACCTTCATGCCGCACTTGTTCTCACAGTAAAGAGGCTCGTAGCCACACGTGCCAATGTGCTTCTGCAAGATCGACGAGACGCGATTTTAGACGGTTATTGTCTTCAATTGGGATAGGGGTGAGGGGGGCGATGGATTATTTGGATTGTTGTAATGCGTACCTCGAGCGTATAGCCAGTGAATTCTTTGGCGCAAAATTCGCACCTCGCGCGTCTCTGAGCACAGGTGTACTTCAAATGATCCTCCATTAGAACGCGAGGAATCATGGCGCCACACTTATTGTTACATGGTATCGCATCGTGCTTGCACGTGTTCAAATGTGCCTGCAAACGATAAATAATGAGATTTGATTTAACCATTAGATGGCTTCGATATTGGGTAGAGCGATATTAACCTTGAGCTTTCTCAGTTCGTCGGACCATTTGCAGCCGTCTTTGTGATGAATGCAGTAGACGATCGATCCCATAATGGCCTTTTCAGCTTCCAAATCTTGAAAAGTCTGCAACAGAAAAGTGGGAGGGAAGCTTAAAAAGAATTCCTTTATAATGTGACAATATCGGTAATAAAATTAATTATGCGATCTTATGTCGTTGATATATGGAAGAAATGCAGAAGAAATGTGTCGGCATATGTATGCTTTATATGTAAGCTGACACGACGATTATAAGATCCTGACTATACGCGTAATTTGAAAAAGCGTTAATTATTTCTTCTTGTCAACTTCGCCAGATATATGAAAAAGTGTTAAAGTAATTTCTATCGCGAGATATCCGAAAGCATTTATTTCAATTTTCAGAATAAGCTTTGAATGCAACACTACGGAACTGCAAATCCTAATTGGGCGCAACCGACAAATGCTTGATTGTTTTTGGTAAGAAAATTATTTAGCCGGCCAATCAATTTCCATCATTACTCCAAACATCCAGAGCCTCGTCTATCTAAGAGATGAGACGGAGTAATGTGGGCGATTGCATCGCCTTGTCATCTCACGGAGAAGAGCCAAGAAGGAGATTAATGGCTCACAATGGACGTTCGCGGGGTTAGTTTCGAGCGACGAAAACGCGATGAAAGAGAATAAGTTAATAGCGCCGAGGCAGCCGCGGTGATAGGGGTTACCGGCCCGGTAACGCGTTCTTACTCTTCTCGCCCTCTCGCTTATCGATTGAATCGCAGAGCGATGGACATCTTTAGAAATTAGAGGAGAAGGTTATGGAAAATCCGGAGAAGACGCGCGATGCTTTATATAGGTTATTACGGGCGGGAGACGCGAGCGGAGGGAGAAGCCGGTCGCTCACCTCATATTCCCGGACGAAAATGGATGCGCGAATTGGCTGGCATTCAAGAAAGCGGGGTGTGTCGTGTTTTAGTTGACGCAAAAATCTGTTTGTTTAATCGCGCGTCGCCGAGGCCGCGATCTTCCCAAGTTTGGACGTTCGTTGTCATTAAAGATGGGGAAAAAGTGGTGGATAAGGCATGGGATAACGAATTCCATAGGACGATCTGCGGATTTCCGATATGCGGAAAGTGATCGAGAATTCCACGGAAGGTGGGAGGGTCGCAGGGCCGAGGGGCTGCGGAGAAAATAGTAGAAGGAGCAATTGCCTGTGAATAATCACGTTGATAAAAGCCCAAGCGATCCCGAGGTGCCAAGCCCATCAAATCAGGGAAAACAAGAAGTCCTAAAATGTAAGTGGCGGTGGAGGAGTCGTGAGAGGCGCAGGGAGGAGGGCAATAAGTCGGATGAAGGAGAAAAAAGGAAAAGTGCCGACAAGGCAGCCCGGGAGGTCCATACCGGGAAAGCGTCGTTGAGGTATGCGGAGATAGGTGGGGCTAAGTAGTAAGAGAAATGCTGCAATCCGCTTGACAACGGTATTGGAAAAATAGAGACATTTGGTCGTTCCACGAATTTTCACGGTACCTCGGTATTTTCACAATATTTTTAGGACCACCTTTTGAGCCGGCAAAACTTGACTGATGAGCATAACTTTATGCTAATGCGCCGAGTTATTTGATTTTTTCACGATAAAGCGTTTCGAACATTCCGTCGACGATTGCTCGTTGGTAAAACTACAAATTGCGGGATGCCGATCCTTACTGAATAATAATCCTAATTGCCCAAAAATGTCTCTACTAAATAAGTGTATAAGTGTATCGATATATATATATATATATCGATTCGCGATTGAGGCTTTAAAGTAAATTTCAGCGTATGGGCTGGCTGTTACTGAAGAACCAACGCGAAAAGATTGCTGTCGAAGGACAAAATTAAATTGATCCGACGATAAATACGACGTGTCGATGTTGCCTTGTACCATCATCGTCGGCATTTTGTATTTCCTCCGGATGCCGTCTTCCGGGAAGAGTATCGCAGCCCTATCGAAATAACTCGAGTTTTACAGCGGATAAGAGCGACGCCAAAAACCGTGATACCGAGGGTGAGAGTCGCAACACCTGCGGGGGGGGGGGTGACTTCTGGGACAGCTCCTTTGAAGTGCTGCGCCGAGCCAATGATTTAAGAGCTTGTCGTTAGATTATAATTTCGTCCTTATGGAGTCGTCCCACTCTCTCGATCTCTTTTATTATTATTATAATTTTTTGTAAAGATGAACGCATGGGTCGAAGAGGACGAAAGAAGGGTGATGTCATTGGTCGTAACTCTGGGGCATTTAAATTCAAAAATAACTCGTCCCAATTATTCATCGGTAAATTAAAATCATTCATCGAAGTAAGCTAGTAGTGAGTAAGACCGGGCGACGAGCATTCGAAATGTTAAATCGTCCCTAGACACAGACGCGAGATTTAACAATAAATAAATTGGAAGGACACCCCGACAGAGATGTCTTACATGGCAATTTTAAAGCAAATTTCACTTGCCACCGTTCGCGAGTGCAAGGTGCGTGAATTCGCTTTCCCGCTATAGGCAGGAAACGCTCATGCAATTGGGGTTTAGGCGGGGTTAGGCGGGGTTTTGAGAGGCGGTGGGGAGACCGAGCAGAAAACCGGTAAGGCCGGTGGCCGAGGCAGGAGCTCGGGTGTCCTTCCTCGCACGGGCACAGGTTACAGAGAGGCAATGCGAGTTTTGCAGGAGCCAACAGGTCTCGACTCGCTTGTAACCTGTGCAGCCAAGGTCTTCTGGATAGGCCGTGGTAGAAAGAACCCGGCGACCGTAAAGAGAGCCGCCGCCTTCCAGCCGATCGCACCTACCTTTTTTTTCGTCTTTCATCTGTTCTTCCTCTCTTCCACCCGCCCTTCGTTCCTACCTTTCTTCATTCATTCTACATTCATTAATTCATTCATTCATTCCTTCCTTCCTTCCTTCCTTCCTTACTTCCTTCCTTCCTTAATTCCTTTCTTTCTGCCTTCTCTGGTTCGTCCTACCTTACTCCGTTTATTTATTTGCGCGAATCAGAGGCGCGTGCATCCGGGGAACGTGGGCCGTTCACCTCGAGGCGCATGCGTGTCGAGACGAGTGCACGTATTTACGAGCGAAAGGTTATTTAAGACGCGGCACGCGCACGCGCGCGCACACCTTCCCTGATGACTGGACACACGCGGACGAGGGCTTTTCTTGCTGAGGGATGTTGTTCCGCGATAAACGTCGTTGTAATCGATAGGTGAGAACGAATCCGAGATGATATTACTTTCGTAGTTAAACGCGCGAGAGTCGCGTATGCCAGATTGATAAAGATCATTGGTGGGTTCGTTGGCTCGACAATCGCAACACTCGATCCTGTCGAGGCGATCAGCTTTAAGCAGCCCGCGCTTGCGTAATACTTTATTACGCGCAAAAAATTTCGATGGCACGTGGACTTGCCTGCAAAAAATTGCAGAATGTTTAAGCAATAAGCGGGTAATTGCGATTTCCTGCGGCGGAGGGCATTGTTCTACGACATTACGACATTACGACATTGCAATTCTTAAATTGCCCGGCTCGTAAAATGCTCTGGCGCAGGAAAGACGAGAATGACCAATTCCAATTGAATTCGAAGATGAAAAAATGCGAAGCATGTCGGTGGGAATGGAACTTAAATAACCCGCGGCTTTAAATTCGTGCCGAAAACCACTTCCGAGAGGATACATAAATAAGCCGGCTACGGGCTTCGACTAATTTTAATACGCCACAAATACTGTAGGAAAAAACGTCGACGAGTATCGGGGGATGACGAAACGAAGCGGTCGCGTTGAATAATACGGGTGGCGTCTCTTCAGCACCACTGGCACTGAAATAAAATCGATGTGCGAGGACGGATGTGACGCTGAGTCGGTCGCGCGAGCTAAGCTCTCGAAAGGCAAATGAACAAGAGCGAAGAAAGAAGAAAAAAACGGAGAAGCCAGACAGCCCACCCCACTCGGGATCGGAGATTTTTCATATTGTCGGGAGTGATGTAAGCGCGCGTAACGAACGGACGACGCTCGCTTATCAAAGCGGGTGTTAATGTGCTACGGCGCAGTTGATAAGACGGAGAACTACGACGGGCGCGCACCGCCGATCGATGCTTTTCCGGCGAGCATAGCCGCGCTCCCTTCTTCTTCTCCATCCATAACTTCTTAATTTATGCAGCGCAAGCCTGCTCAACTACGGCCACATCATTTATTTTCCTTTTAAATCGAAAAAACAAGAGGAGATATATTCAAATACACGAAATATGCCGAGTAAGAGCGGCGGTCGAGATACGTTTGAAGAATTCCTACTAATGGCATTCCAGGCGGCCTATGCCGTAGCCCCGCGACGGTATCTCATTACGATGTCTTGGCTGCCGTGTCGCACTCGATTTACAAGCGACCATCACCGCTTCCTAATCCAAAGGGGGCGAGTCTGGCGCGTGTACGAGTTGCCGTTCCCAACGGACTCGGCGGCTTCGGCGGCGAATCTCGGAAAGCGAGCGCGGCTTTGTTCGACTATCGGCGAAAGGCGAGAGAATGAGAGGGGGGGGGTGAGCGGATAGCGGCGAGAGGGGGGCAATAAAGAGAAGCCGCCGAAGGAAACGAGCAAGCGGGGAGGAAGAGGGTCGAGGCAAGGCGGACAAAGACAGTCACGGGGGACTCCTCCGCACATTCCTCGTGTTTACGAGCCGCGACGACCAAACTCATCGCGATGCCCCTGCCCCGCCCGCCTTGTGGTCTCATCTTCTCCATTCCCGAGGCTCACCCAAGAAACCGAGCGGGTAAATGACCCCGTTAGTGACCGCGATTCAAGTACAGACTCCATCCGCGCTTACGGGCCAATTCAGCGAAGGCCGTCGTAATCTTGCATAGCCTCCGTTTGTAGGTACGTTTACACGCACTCGTACATACAGAGAGAGAGAGAGAGAGAGAGAGAGAGAGATAGGAGGTAGTAATGGGACGGCGTAGTTTACGCTGCTTTTCGCTAATCTTTCGGGTCACTTTTTGAATAATGAGGTGACTAAGAATGCAAGGAAAGTGCAATCGCGCGCTTCCAGAGATTACGGGAAAGCCGGACTATTTAAAAACTAATAATACTCCTCTGGTTTTTAGCGT